TCTTTCTGTGAATGTGGTTTTCGTTCCACAGGCTGCAGGATTGTAGTTCTTCTTGCTTCTGCTGTCTGCCCTGTGGTGGATGAGGCTATCTAAGAGGCTTGTCATGATGACCTTCTATGGAAGCACTTTGTGAAACATCAAGTCTAAAAAAAGACTAGCTTTTTATCTTTGGTGATGATAATGATGATAATAATGACTCATGATGGGAAAAGGTGACTTAGCCAGTCTGGACTCCCTGCCTTTTCCGAAGTTCACACTGTAAAGTTTGCACTTTTGCTCATGACATCCTCTCTGACTGGAATCACTTCTCCCAGGTTTATGTCTGTCAAAACCCTATTCCTCACTGGGACACCAAGGGCCAACTTCAATCAGGTATTAAATGTGATGCCAGCAGACTTACAGCTGCAAGAAATCAAGAGGGAGCAGCAGAGTAGACTTCCAGATTAGGGTAGTGACAGGTGGGAGAGGGAAGCTGCTGCATCTCTAGTCGATGTCCTGGGGGAAAAGAAGAAGCTGAGATGTAGAACTACTATATAACTTTCATGAATTCATTTTAAGAAAGTTAGAAAATTCAGATGAAAATATGAATGTAAAATATAAGAAAATAAAATCACCCATAAACCCACCATCCATTACTTTAAACATTTTTCTATTTGCCCACTTATTTATATATATCTAAAATTTAATGGTTTTCCCAGTAAAATTTAATGTTCAAATCAAATAACTAAATGTGTATTAATATAAATCTTCATATCTCCCTATCTAATATATGGAATCATATTTTTAGCAGATCTTTTTGTGGTAAAACATACCTAACATAAAATCTACCGTTTTAATCATTTTTTTTTTTTTTGGCGTTTTAATCATTTTTAAGTGTATAGTTCAGTGGCATTAAGTACATTCACAGTGTTGTGTAATCATCACCAAAACCATTCATCTCCAGAACTTTTCATCTTCCCAAACTAAAACTCTGTATCCCTTAAACAGTAACTTCTCATGCCCTCCTCCCCTTAGCCCCTGGAAACCACCATTCTCCTTTCTGTCTCTTTGAATTGATTATTCTAGGTAGTTCATATAAGTAGAATCATACAATATCATACAATATTTTTTGTGACTGGCTTATTTCACTTAGCATAATAGCTTCCAGGTTCATCCACATTGTAGCATGTGTCAGAATTTTATTCCTTTCTAAGGCTGAATAGTATTCCGTTGTATGGTATATACCACATTTTGTATATCCATTCATTCATTGATGGACATTTGGGTTGTTTCCACCTTTTGGCTATTGTAAATAATGCGACCATAAACAATGGTGTATAAATATCGGTTTGAGTCGCTGCTTTCAATTCCTTTGAGTATATACCCAGAAGTGGAATTGCTGGTAGAAGATCCTTTTTTGTTCTTTCTTTTCTTTTTGGCCGTGCCATGTGGCATGCAGGATCTTAGTTCCCCAATCAGGGATCGAACCCTTTTGCTCCCTGCAGTGGAATAGTGTTCTTTAACTACTGGACCACCAGGGAAGTCCCAGCAAATCCTTTTTTTTTTTTTTTTGAATTTTATTTTATTTTATTTTTTTATACAGCAGGTTCTTATTAGTCATCTATTTTATACATATTAGTGTGTATATGTCAATCCCAATCTCCCAATTCATACCACCACCACTACCACCACCACCATGCCCCGCTTTCCCCCCTGGGTATCCATATGTGTGTTCTCTACATCTGTGTCTCTATTTCTGCCTTGCAAACAGGTTCATCTGTACCATTTTTCTAGATTCCACATATATGCGTTAATATACGATATTTGTTTTTCTCTTTCTGACTTACTTCACTCTGTATGACAGTCTCTAGGTCCATCCACATCTCTATTTCATTCCTTTTTATGGCTGAGTCATATTCCATTGTATATATGTACCACATCTTCTTTATCCACTCATCTGTCGATGGGCATTTAGGTTGCTTCCATGACCTGGCTATTGTAAATAACAGCAGATCCTTTTCTTAATCAGTGAGCCACACCTTCTCGTTTCTATGGGTCTGATATGATGCTAAATGGTTTTGTGGTTGAACTTATGGGAAAACTGGTATTCCTTCTTGCATTTCACATGTTCTGTCTGGGGTAAGTTTTCTTCATCTTCTTGGTACACATCCATTAGAAATTTCTTTAGGGAGGAGTCTGTAGGTGTTAAACTCAGTTTTCATTTATTTGAAAATGTCTTTTTTTTTTAAACTTTGCCTCAAAAAATAATTTTACTGGGTATACAATTCAATGTTTATAGATTTCCCCCCTTTATTTTAGCACTTTGAATCATTCCAATGTCTTCTGGTTTCCACTGTGGCTGTCGAGAAGTGTGCTACAGGTTTAGTTGTATTCCTTTGAAGATGATCTATGTTTTCTCTCTAGTCTTTAGATTGTTGGTCTTAATTGTTCCACAGTTTCACTGAGTTGTATCTAGGTGTGGATTTCTTTATATTTATCCTTCTTGGCGTAAATTGTGCTTCCTATATTCGTGAATTCTTGTCTGAAATTTTTCAGCCATTTGCTCCTCATATATTGCCTTGCCCCCGTTTTCTTTCTCTTCTCCTCATGCAGAAGCCAGTTTGGTGACTGTAAGACCGCCTCATTCGTTGACTCTTAACTTTTTTATCAGCTTGTCTCTTTTGCTGCATTTTGATGAATTTTTTCAGATCCATCTTTTAGTACACTTTCTTCAGCTATATCTTCTGCATTGCAGTTTTAATTTTAATTCTTACATACAGTTTTTTATTTCTTGATATTCTATTTTTTTCCTAAATCTACCTGGGCATTTTTTATAATCTCTTATTCCTTGCTTATGTTTTCTATTCCATCTTTTATTTCTTTAAACATTTCACAATAGCTTCTTTAGATACATCATCTGATTGTTCCAAACTCTGGAGCCCTTAAAGATTTAAACCCGTTG